TGTTAGGAAGAGCAAGCATTCCCTTCACGCCAGCTGTGAGCAGTATGTATTGATAGCCTGAATATTCCGTAGTCAAATTTAGCAAAAAAAACAACAACAAAGGCCTAACAATTGGCATGAGATATGTCAGTCAAAATGCGATCCAATGACAGGTTATATTTGCTAACAAGGTCATTATATAACTACCACAGACTCAAACAATGCAAACAGAATGGTTTGTTTAGTGCTTGAGTACATTTACAAATTCTTTCACTTGTATGTCATTCAAGAAAAAAAATATACATGTATGTGTCTATTCCTGCAAAAAACATTCCAAAGTTCACATGACCTTAACAGTACTACTTCTTATTACTTGCTAAATGTTAATGTAACAGGTTTAAGACCTTCGACCTTCAGGTGTTCTGCAAAAGAAAGGGACTGCAGAAATGTTTATAAAGTTAAATTTTAAGGTATAAAAAAGAAAAGAAAATATTTGAAAACGAAACACCCAGGCATAATTAAATCTAAGACTTCAAATCGCATTTCTAACCTTCTTGAAACAATTAGATTTTCGGAATTTTAAAGGGCATTAAACTTTTTACATAAAGTTCGCCATCTTCGATAAAAAGTACAGGTTTGATATTAACATCTCTATAAATATTGGAATTGTACATTCGTGCAAATTAAAGATGAATTGTTTAAAAAGCAGAACTTCGACACCGACTTTTTTCTCTCGTTTATCAATAGAACATATTAATTTTTTTAGAGTGAACAATCGTGGTTTTCATATTTTTTAAAATAAATAAATCATTTTAAAATGACATGTGGAGTTGAGACAAAATGTTCGTTTATGCTCATTTTAGTGTTTATCTCTAAATAATTTTTTTACAATATTTCTTGAAAAATTATCTTTTTATTTCTTCTTTTTTTATCAAAATGTAAGAAAACATATAACTTTTTTCACTTGATTAGATATCGTGAAAATCTGTGTGCATGCTGTTATATTTTATTTTGTTATGGTGTCAATCTGACGCTAAAAATAGCAATTCATTAATTATTCTTGAAACATCTTTTAATTTATCAAGAAGAGGGACATTCAGATTTTACAAAGATGAGTTAAGTTTAACGAATTAAACATATATTTTTATTGTATCAGAGAAAAATATGATCAAAATTCTGTAATTTAAAGTACAATTTTTATATTGCCAACAAATGCAATATCAATTTAAAAGTAGGTTAAGGATGTCTTACATTTCACTGATGGTTAAATGAAAGCAACTCACACTGGATTTTATTTCTGACTCTATTATATTATCTTCCTCGAGAATTAACTCACTTTCCCCAATTGTCAGGTACTTAAATCTAAATTAACTTCAGAGCCTACATGGGAACAATAACATTTCTTTATTCACGTTTTATTAAAATATTTCATGGCAACAATAATTCTTGGCTTTTATAACACAACAACAAATGCCGTGTACAGAATTCTCCTTCTAGAACTTTTTTGTGTTGATTTGTTTCTTTGTTTTTGTCGTTGATAATCTTATGGAATTTAAATTATCAGAAGTGCCTAACACTATCATGAAAACGTAGAAATATAATATATATATATATATATATATATATATATATATATATATATATATATATATATATATATATATATATATATATATATATATATATATATATATATATATATATATATATATATATATATATTTATAATTTAACGTTTTTATTTATTTATTTTTTTTATTTTTTTTTATTTTTTGGAGAATTCTAAAATAGCAGTTGCTAACCCTGCTTTTATGTCCAATATTGCTCTGTTTTAGTAAACAGAGGAAGTCAATACGGTGTGACATGCTATTGCTTACAATGGCAATTGCTTTAGTTCATAGTTGCTCTTCATCGATGCAGTGTTCATGTGTTAAAATACTTCAGGATTATTGCACAACATATTTCAGAAGTGGTGTTAAACATATGTGGATACTAAAAAAAAATTCAAAGAACTTTAAGAAAATCTGAAATCACAAATTTTTACCAGAACCATTCCCTGCGATAAATTAAAGTCCAGTCATTTTCACATCATAGACAACTGATTTTTCAATAAAAATGGGGCTCGTTGAATTTACATACTTTGTTAATGGTCATTTGCAAAAGCATTCTGATTTTACACACAAGAACTCCTAAGTTGATATTTAAAAGATTCTCGAATTTCTGATTGACGTTATCTATGTAGATTTTAGTGATGTAGTCTCGAACAATATGTTGGAATTTCATTGGGTACTAATTGTGCCCCGTTATAAGCAGACCTATTTTGTATAAATATGAAGCAGAATTTATTCAAAAACTTAAATATGTAAAGAAGGCGTCTCTTGCTGTGTCCTTCAACTCGACATTTCGATATATCGACGACGCTAAATCAATCAACAATATTCATTTTCATAACTACGTTGATTCGATATTTCCTACTAAACTCGAGATAAAAGACGCCACAGAGCCTGGTATATCTGTTTCATATTTGGTAATTTTACTTTATTATATACCCAACTGTTTGTCACTCAGTTTTACTGTTGAATTTATGCAATTTATGACGGTGTGATCCGACGTTCCGGATCACCACACTGTGGTTTTCTGAATCTATATCACCCCTCTCTGAAACTGATGACGTAGTACACAGATAAATGACGTTTTTATTCTCGCGCTTCAAAAAGTTCCTTGAAAAAATGGTTTGTTTAATGTATAAAAGTTATGTAATTTATCCAAAAAGTTACTTTTTATTACATTTTGCTAGTTGTAAAGGGGTATATAATAAATTTATCATTATAACAGTAACTTGATCCGAAGAGCCATATCATGTCTCGTTGACAGGCGCGGATCATCAGATCAAACTCGACGCTTCGCGTCTCGTTTGATCTGATGATCCGCGCCTGTCAACTTGACGTGATGCGGCTCTTCGGATCAAGTTACTGTTATAATAATATATATAGAAAAACACCGGTCAACAGAAAATGCTTCTTCCTCAAAGGCATCTGATCCCACCTCTGATGTTTTATGAGGGTCGTGTTTGCTCCTCTCCCAATCTGTGTCGTTCAAATAAAGTTTTGAGCTTGATTAAATTTTGTTATCTTCATATTTTATTCTTCAATAACAATGAAACTTGTGGTATTTGCGTATCTTGTCATTGGTCATCTGCAAACTTATCTTGTTAATAATATTCTGATTCTACACACAAGAACTCAGAAGCTGATGGTTGAGTTTCCCATTGACAATATTTAGTTTTCGGAGACAAGGTCTTCCAGCCATATGTTGGAATTTCCGGGGTACTAATTATGCCCCTGTTATTAGAAGGCCTGTTTTTGTACCGAAAATTAACTCTGAATTATGCTATTCTAACTCAAATACCTGGTACTCAAGTTAATAATCTTGAGCTAGCCGTAACTCAGTTTTGAGGTCATATACTTTGGGTATTCATTGCTTATTTATTTGTTTCCTATGTCCTTCTTTTTAGTATATTGATGTCTAAGTAAAGGAGAACAATTTGTACTTAACTGTATACTTTTACAGACAAAAGAAAGTTATATACAATTATCAAGCTATCCCAGGCTTCCATTTAGAGTATTATCAATAAGGTTTAGTTTTACTTGTTTATTTTTATAAAATTTTATTTATATTATCAAAAGTCTTGTACTGTGGAAAAACATTATTTTATTAATCTTTCAGTCGTCAACTTCCCTTACTAATGCAGGAATAACTCTTATCACCTGCATATGTGGTTTATATCTCTCAATTGATTCGATTAGCTAGAGCATGCTCTACATATGAACAATTTCTAAAACGAGGTAAGTTATTGACAAACAAGTTTATGAAACAAAACCATCAACAGTCTCGTTTAAAGACATCATTTCGTAAGTTCTATGGTTGATACAATGACCTTTTCAGCAAATACAATCTATCAGTAAGTCAAATGCTGACTGACATTTTTCATACTAATTGTTAGGCCATTATTTACACACTGTATTGTCGACGGATTTTTCCGTTATTTCCGATCATGACAAGGAGCACACGGCGGGTGTGACCGGTTTGCAGGGGATGCTCACTCCTCTATGGCACCTGATCCCTCTGATGTTTTAGGGGTCAGTGTTTTCCCTGCTCCAGATTTGTATTGTTTGAATGGACTTTTGAGAAATTGAATACTGTTCGTTATCTCCATATCTTTCATTACATGTATAACATGTACACTATAGTTGTAATTTGCACATAGTCCTTTCAACTAATTTCAAATACATCATTACTTTAATTTCAACACACCATATCAATTTAGGAATTATCCTGTAGAAATGAAGATGTTTGAACGGTCGACAGGGGATGCTAACTCCAGCTGAACCCAATTGTGATGTTTTCAGAGGTCCGCGTTTTGCTCTCCTTACAATTTGTATTGTTTCATTGGTTTTTGAGCATGAATAATGTTCGTTATCTTAACATTTCATGTTCATATATTTAAGCTGACCTTTTCAAGTATATAGCTAATCAAAATGTAAAAACGAGGCAGTGTCAGCACATTTTGCCGGTTCAAGGTTAAGTATGTTAAGCTGACTATACCTTGGCTGTAAAGTTTTCCATGGTAAATTAAGACAAAGTTCAACGTATTTTGAATGTACATTTAAAATTAGGAAAGTTTTATAGCCCTTTTCACCAAAACCTTAGACAAATACATAACCTGAACCCCCTCTAAAAAGAGAAGATATATTTTTCATTAAAGTTTAAAACCTATCATTTTATTTCCCAAAACAATGATAAATGTTACCTATGTAATTTTTTTTTTCATTTTCTTCAAAGCATTATTTCAATATATCTTATTATTCAATGTAAAGGTCTCAAAACCCATTTTACATTATGTGAATATTTATGATATCTTAAATTAAAAAAAGAGTATGCATTGTGATTATGTTAATTCAATCCAAAATGTTACTTTTGATGGCAAAGTTTAACAAATAAAAGGAAATCAACTGCAATATTATCATTAACATGCAGCAAATTCAAGAACATGACAGGGTATTTTGATCTTTGGATATAAAATAAGAAGAACGGACTAGCTCTCTTTAGTTTTGCTGTTTTAGCAGAAAACCAAATATGGTAAGGATGGTAAATACTAAGTTGCTCTTCAGTATAATTAAAGGTATTTCATTCCGGCTGTTTAATTCAAATTTATGAACCTTTTTTTTTTTTATCTAATTCCTTGTTCTCTTTCATCTTTAGTTTCGAACCCTCCTAATTTTCTCTTTGGTGATTTTTCTGATTCCGGGTGATGTCTGCGCTTGGGGAAGATTTAGACAGGCTTTTGATAAGGTCAAGAAACGTGCTGAAAAAGCAAAGGAGATTATTGACAAAATACAACAAGTTTTGGATATCATAGGAAAGAGGTCAGCAGATAAGGTAAGATATAGATATATTAAACATAGACTTATCTATGCAAACGTTTTTCTGAACTGTTAGAAATATGACTCTTTGTGACAAAATCAAGGTTATTGAACAGGAATTTTTACTCGTGTAATGTTTGAAGATTTGAGACATAAGTAGTTTTCGAATTTTCTGACAACAATAATGCCTCGATCGATATCAATGTTATTTATTTACCTGCTTGAAAGGTTTTAGAATAAGTTAAACATTGTCATAATAGTTACCTACAATATTAAACTCAATATTCTCCTGTTCATCTTTTCATTGCTGACTCCATTTTAAACACTTATACCATTATAAACGGTGTGAAAAATACGACTGACAGTAAAACTTGTTATTATTTTATCACTTATCATTTTCAGGATGTAAACCGTTTTGATATCTGCAAATTTTCTTCTTTGGACCTGAATATTGATGGCGAAATAAGTGAGAGTGAAATCTCAACTCTGATAGAAATGACAGGCAAAACTAATTTTGCCTCCTACTTTCAACAACTTGATATTAACAAAGGTAAAGCAAGACAACTCTTTCTTGACAATTTCACACACTTAAATTTTGTTGTCTCAATATATTTGTTACGTATGTGAATTTTCCAGTTCATTTTAACCAAAGTTATTCTTCAAGAATAACTAGAATTTAAAGGGACTTGGACAAAGATTTGAAGTTTATAACTATAAAAAATTTCCGCAGAATTCCATGACTTACATGAGCGTTTCAGACTGATATATTATAAAAACTTGATCAGAAACTTCTTTTATCTGAAAAGAAGATGGGGGAACAAGACTTGCAAAATGCCTATAACTTCAAATATATAAAAGTCTTATTGAGCATGTGAATTTAGTATGTAAAGTTCTTATTTTTGAAAGGTATGGAATTATGACAACCAAAATCTTTTCTGCTGAAAATTCTTTCGGAAATAATCTTTCTATGATTTCTAAAAATGTATGCAGATGAAATACGGTGATAACCTACAGTATTCAAGCTCAAAGTCAATTAAAACAATACAAATCGGGAGCAAAGAAAACACAGACCTACAAAATAAAATCAGAGGTGGGATCAAGTGCCATGAAGGAGTGAGCATCCCCTGCCGACCGGACACACCCGCCTTGTGCTCCTTGTCATCTTCGGAAAATAACGGAAAAATCTGTCTACAATTCAGTGTGTAAATGAACTAACAATTAGTATGAAACACGTCAGTCAGCATTTGATTTAGTGATTGATTGTATTTGCTGACAAGGTCATTTGATGACAAGGTCATTGTTTTAGAAATTAGAGGTGTTCATACGTAGAGCATGCTCTTGCTTATCGAATCAGCTGCGAGATATACACCCCATATGAAGGTGATAAGGGTATATTGCTGCATAAGTAAGGGAAGTTGACGATTGAAAAGTTAAAGTCGTCACGTTTATCACAAAGCTTTGTTTTTAGATTACCATGAACGTCTTTCCTGGTAAAATATTCAAATATGGAACAGTTGTATAGACTCTGTGGTATCTTTTATTTCAAGTCACTGGGATATATCGTGTCGACATATGAATGGAAATAACTATTGTTTATTGACAATACGTCGTCGATATATCTAAATGTCGAGTTGAAGGCCACATCAAGACATTCTCTTTTCTCTTGTGTAAGATTTGGAATAAATGCTGCTTCATATGAATACAAAAAAGGACTGCTGATAACGGGGCGCAATTGGTACTCATGGGAATTCCAGCAGATTGTTGGAAGACCTGGTCTCCATAAACCACATAGATATTGTCAATCAGAAACTCAAGCATCTTTTTAATATCAACTTCAGAGTACTTGAGTGTACAATAAGAATATTTTAACAAAATAATTTTGCATATAACCAATGACAAGGTAGGTAAATTTACGAGTTCCATTTTTATTGAAAAAGAAGCTGTCAATGATGTCAAAAAGCCCGGACTTAAATTTTATCATGAGGAATAGTTGTATATAGAGTTGAAAAGTCGTAAGTTTTTATGTTATGGATTTTGGTAAAATTCTGTGATTTTAAATTTTCCAAATGTTCCTTGGAATTTTTAAGTACATGTATCTACATCTGATTTACACCACTTCTCTAATATATTGTTGTACAGTACTCCTGAAGTTTCTCCTTCACTGCTGTTAATATTTTAGTAAGGCGTAAAGAAAAAGGCTTGGTAGAACACTTACCGGAACCCGCTATGTATCTTTGTTTGTAAGGATTTTTATAAAGCTTTGGAATCCGATATAGATATGGTAATTCAAATTCATTTTGGTTGTTGGGAATAATAAAAATATTCAAAGCTGACATATGATTTTGAAAAAAGTTCCTCCTTAGAAGGGGAGCTATGGGTATAAATTGGATTACCACTTGTAGAATTAAATCCCAGTTCCTCTAAAATACAATTCAAATAATGAGCCTTACAAACAAAGACAATGTTGTTACCTGCTTTGTCAGCTGGGACCAGCACATACTGATCGCGTAGTCTATCTAATTCTTTTTTTTTTCATTTCTGAATCATTGAACACGGAAGGATAGAGGGTTTTCATATAGCACCTCAATCGCTTAATGCGAAATTTTAACATACATCTCATACATTTATTCCATTCTGACAAAGTGTCAAGGTCTTCTTTGTAATGCAGCTCATGACAGCTGGTGGCATTTAAATCATGTTGTGATATGACCCTTGACTAAATGGACTTCGATAATTTCTTGGAAAGATACGAATATTGTGTCATAAAAGTCTTTTTTTTTAAGGAATAGTGTTCCATGCTTTCGTTGCCCAAAAATTGTACATTTTTACGCATATTTTGAATATAATTTTTTTAGAAATATGTAGCGAAGACCCACTCATATGAATTAAAATATGTGTTATAGTATGTAAATATGATCATTTTTTACCTCTTTGGTGTGTGTATGCTAAATATTTCAATCTTGTGAGATTTTTGCAAATTCTGGGGATTTTACATAAAGTATATGTTACTGTTAAATGAAATATCAAAGAAAATTTTGTCCATTTTTTTCTCTTTTTGAAACTTTTTATTTGACACACAATAGGCATTTTGCCCACCATGTTCTTCTTATCAAAACTACGCATTTTGGGTCGTGTTTGATTGTCATACATCCTTTCACTTTTAGGATTTTTTTTTTCCTTAACATTCAAGGAAAATAGGAAATCTGAGGTGTGCTCATTACAAATATCAATTAAAACTTTAGTCAAGGAAAAGTCAAAGAAGAGATATCTGAAAGCAAAACTAACATGTCGGTGTTGACAGTTTGTGGTCAGTGATGAATCAAATACATCCAGTAAAACGTAAACATTAACGATAACAGAGTTCGTGCCAATATTTACAAACACAGGTTTTTGGAATAAGGTTTGAAGAATGCCGTTGTCATTGAGTATCAGGAATTTTCATAAAAGTTAAAACCATTAAACTGTAGTCAGTTTGCAAATAAAAAGTAGAAATTCAAAATTGTAAATAAATAAGTAAAGTAATGTAATGAATAGTTATATACATGAACATGCGTAAAAGCATTTCTCTCAAGAATCAAGAAGTCAGAAAAAAAAACAAGGTATATATGTGAAGCGTTCATTCTAAAAGTATAGATTAAAATTAAATTTGTTCAAATCATGGCTCCTGGGGATAAAGTGACCCATAATAGAGGGTAGAATTTATAACGGAACATAAATGAAAAAAAATCAAATCATTTTTATTCAAGGATGCAAGGGCAACGAAAAGTCAAATAATCATAAAAACAATTTTCAGTTTAGTCCCCAAAACTAGATAGGGCCACAATAAGGGGTAAACAATAAATATCAAACCAACCCCCAGTATCGTCCCCAAAAACTAGCATATGGCCACAATAAGGGGCCAACAATAAATATCAAACCAGCCTTAAGTATAGTCCCCCAAACTAGGCACACTCCGGGACTAGATGTGCCCAAAATAGGAGGTTGATGTTAAAGAAACGTTTACATATAGAAAGAATAAAAAATATTAAGAATCTTCAAGAACAGCAAGACTTTGTCAAATTTTTATGCAAACATTCCTATTAAACATCAGCATAAGTTGTTTTGCAATACATTTATTTTCGATTATAGTATACATTTCAGATTTCTGAGTGCATTACTTTGCTGAGTAAGATGGGAAATCAAAGTGTATCCAAATATTACTATCTTCATTGTCGCTGGATACTAATATATTTCTTTTTATTCGACTTTCAGATAACAAAGTCACAGAAAGGGAATACCGAGGCTCCGACATAATAAGAAATGGCTGTCCTTGACGATCAATTTTTAATCTTTTAATTTGAATTCCTTTGGATTGTTTTTTACAGTTTTATCGTTGATCTATACCTTATTGCATTTTTTAGTTTTTGTTTTTAAATAAAGATGTCAAAATATGATTTTTTTTCTTTGTGAGTGAAAAATTCTCGAACGGGACGTTGAACAATGTACAACTAATTAATCAATCTTTCCTTTTTTGAAGTGAACTTCAAAAAGGATCAAACTTTATAATATTTCTGAAGTCAAACAGTCTGATTCAATCAGATCAAGTCATATTAATTGTTTTGTAAAGTATATGGCTGCATACTGAAATACTAGTAATATAGCTTACATGATTGCTTCGAAGAAATATCTATATGTGTAAAAACAGTTCCAGCACAGAAATCTAGTTAATATAGTGGTACTACATGTTCATCATTTATTCCATCGTCATATGACACGTGTTTATGACACTCATACTCCTTTTAAAATGTTTAACGCAGGACGGGAGCATGACCAACAATTATTTGCCAAAAAAATGTGGAGTCCGTCATTGTCTTAACCGGGGGGGAGGGGGGGGGGGGGGACTTAACACTTGTCAACCTCCTTGGCTCCTATTTGTTTATTACATTATCTCGCATTTTTCTTCATTTCAATATCTCGTAGGAAACCATCAAAATAGCAGGATCTTTCAAAGATGGAATACTAGTATCTTTTACAAAATTAAAAAGGTCTTGAGTAGATTTCGATTTCGATTTTAATTTTGATTATCAACAGGAAATTATGTTTTCACTGGTTTAATTACTGAAGTCGCATAAGTGATAAATATTTTAAGATTCGTTGATGTAAATGTATAAATTTCACTCAAGATCAGTAGTAATTTAAGTTCAGAAGTCATATTTCATAAGGAATTTCATTTATTTATGGAACCCGGATACGGCATGTAGTTCACCATCGCACCATTGAGGTTTGGGTCAATAATGCGATGCTGCGATATCGCGATGACGATGATACGATGGCGCTACATCGATGACGATGATGTGATGGCACAATGAAGCGATAGAGCAATGACACGATGGTGCGATAGCGATGACACGATGGTGCGATGGCGATGGTACAATGACGATGAAGCGATGTTCACCATCGCTCCATTATGCTATCATACCATCGTCATCGCACCATCTCTTTATTGTTATCGCGCCATCGCACGCCATCGACCATTTAGGGCGCGGTGCGATAGTGAACTACGTGGCCATATCCGGGTTCCATATCCATATCTGTACGGAGAATTCATTATTTAGGATCGTAAATATTAAAATGACGTATGAATTTGCATTCTAAGTTAGTTATTTTAACCTGTCTGTCACGATGATATGATACTGCAAAACTGAGACAGAAATTAAAATGTAAATTGAAAAATGGGGTTACTCAGTGTGGTTTTAGGTCACAGATTTTAGATATGAAATATGGTAACGGTTTGTTTTTAAATGTATAGAAATGTTTGCCAACTTTTCCGATTTTATAAAATAAACATTAGCCATCCCCGCGTGTTATAGGCAGTATGATGTCATATTTCATATATAAAGATGCGTTGAAAGTGATGTAGTCACTCTACATTTTTATTTATCATGATCAGAACCTTATAATTACTTACAAAAGGGATCGGTTCTTGAATCTCAGGAGCAAATATGATGGTTCAGCAAATAATTGAAGAAATGCTCGGGTTGGAAAAAATACCAGTTAATGGTGTTTGAGAACACCATTTTGAGGGGGAAAACACTCACATATATTTGAACTTTGTTTGTTTTCACAAGGTTGCTATTATCAGTCAATTATAACAACAAACAGAAAAATCAATATTATCTTAAAGTAATTTGTTCCACAAAGGAACCTCACTCCTTATTCCTGATTTTCTTATGAAAAAAATGTGGTCCTTAAATTCAAAATTTAAATAGATTAAAGATATAAGATTTATGAACAATTCTATAAAGAACAGAACAGAGTTTGAGATACATGTATTTAAAATGGTAATAAAAAATGAGTCATAAAACTTTGCTATTGTGGGCAGTTGCATATATCCCCTTAAAATGAGCCAAACGGAGCAACATTGGAGTTAGAAGTAAAGTTAAAAAAAAAACAAACAAACAAAAATTCCTATTGCAAAATTTTGCAATTGTTTTCATGGCAACTGCAGCTATTTTGGAAAATTTAAATTCCAGAAAATTGGAAAGACATGCATAAAAAATGAAGAATAGAATATCGTTGGAGGAAAAAAAATTAGAATGAAATCCCCCTTTTTGTTTTCATGGCAACACTGAAAAATAAAAATTTGTCATACCGATTCCAATTATTTGCAGAAATCAGTATGAATTGATGCAAGGAATAATCCTTTAATGTTTCAAAAGAATGGACGAGCAGTTGTGGAAAATGAGGGGTTTTTTTCTTTTTCCATAGCGATGGTCACGATCTTTAAAAAATTGATTTTGAATGCACAACTAGACCTAATAATTATCATTTCTGTGAAGTTCAGTTAAGATTGTACGTCCAAGCCATCTGCGAGGACATCTGTTGACAAAATTTTAGGTGATTAAATTACTATATGTCGCCCTGACTTCCATTAAAACTAAAGGTAAAGCCAACCAAAACTAAAAATATAACTTACACCAGACTTTGGCAATATCGAAACTGAAACCTGAAAGCTCACTTTGACCTTTTAATTTGGTGTGCCAATTAAAAAGTTTTAAAAGTTATTCCAAATATGATCCTAATCTCTAAGGTAAAAAGTCCTTAAAATTTTTCAAAAACATTACAGAAAACCCAGACATGGGATTTCCAGTTTCTGAAATATATTAAAGTATGCAGACCAACATGATAAAAAATAAAAGTGACAGAAATTGAAAAGTTCATATATTCTCAACCAACCTACACCATAAAACAACGAATGACAATGTACGTCTGCGGTACCGGTGCTAACGTTAAACTACCTGGCTTAATTAAACAAAATTAATATGCAATGTCTGCAAAAGTACATAATGTAGAGAATGAAGGAAGATTACTCCAAAATTTAGATTTAAGTGCAATTTACAACAGGTCTGGTCTAAATGTTTGCTAATTCGGAAAAGTCAAACCTCATTAAACATCACAATAAATTAAGAAATTTAATACGTCAAATGACGGCAAAACATATGACCTTAAAACTGCTGGAAGCTAGGATTGTTCACTCATATCAAGGTACGCCAACTCTAGAAATAATATGCTTTGGTGATTTATTTAAATGATTAAAAGTTTATTTAGTTGGAAACATATCAAAAAAAAATTTCTATCCTCCTAGTAAAATAAAATTTGAGACTTTAAAAAAGAGCAATACTTTAAGCTTCAAGTAGGAGGGATTACCTAAAATGGTTAAAATTTTGCCGCCCTAATCAATCAATCAATCAATCAATCATGTGCAAAGGACCTCCATGGCCGTAGAAACCGGGGGGAGGGGGGGGGGGCTTGCCAATAATATTGCCGATATATAGATTACTATAGTAAACTTAGATACTATATGCTTGTGCCCCCTCAATAAAAACGTCTGATGACCTTTTTTTTTTTCTTTTTTTTTTTTTTTTGGCTTGTCGAGAAATCTTTGAAGTGCCCCCACAACTGAAATGTATGGCTGTGCCCCCCCCCCCCCCAACTGAAATTGCTTCCTACGGGCCTGATCGCGTTGTCGTTTGGATTTTCAACCTATTAATCCTTGTTGAAATTTCAGGGTACAACTGATAGTATCCATTTTTCCAATTTATTTTTTACATAATTTCTAATTCTGTTTGATGATAAATGTTTCAGACTGCAGGTAAAAAGTTTTGAAAACATTATCTAAACCTTTACATATTTGATGACATTTTTAGTAAAATATTCAGTCTTTTCCATATTTGTTAATGGAGTCCCTGTTGTAATTATTTATGTAGTACATTTACATCATCATATGAAATTTATGAACATTTATACTTTAGAATGTGACTGTATGGGTATATTAAAACATATCACAAAGTTATTCAACTTTGATTCTATCTCTAATGTAAAAAGTTCTTTCGATTTCATTTTTTAAAAATATTACAGAAAAACCAGACAAGGGCTCCCAGTCTCTGAAATATTTTAAGGTATGCAGACCCACATGATAAAAAAAAAAGAACTATGTAAAAATGACAGAACTGAAAAGTTCATATCTTCTCAACCCACATTATGAAACATCGAAATCGATAATATGCGTTCACGGTACGTTAAAATACTTATGACCCTACTTAAGTCAAAAACTTAGCAAGCTTTATGTTACGACCCCCTGGTTTATTAGAGAAACGAACGAAAGTAATTAGAAAAGGGGATCGTTCATTGTATTCACAGTTGCATAATTGAATTCTTCAATGTTATTGAGATTTCAATAGATAAAATCACCGAAAGATACCTCAAAACTACTTAGACGCTACCGTGATGCTACAATACATTTTCAATGGACATTTGAACGAGGAAAGGGGTTCCGAAAAGGGAAAGGAAAGGAAAATGAAAAATTTCTAATTTTGAAGCATGAAGTCAAAGATTTTCTGTTAGGGAAAAGAGAGCGAGAGAGATGTAAAAAAAATAAACATAATAAAACAATTGCCTTTCTGTTCATGCTACTGGCTAAACTTTGTTGTTCAGCGTCCCTCTCGAGAATTTTTCATTCATACAGAGACCACCATTTGTCGGTGGAGGGCTACAAATTTTTTACCTATACTCGGCACTGAGGGCCATTGAGCAGTGAGGGATGATTCTTTTTAGTACCAGCACCTACTGCGACACGAGACCTCGGTTTATACGGTCTCATCCGAAGGACCGGTCTTCATGTCCCACAGTGGGATTCGAACCCGCAACGTAAGGATCAACTCTTTTTATCGCGACTTTGTACATGTAATTATAAAATGTACAGTAAAGTTGGGTTTTTATTAATTATACTTTTTTAACTGATTATATAGGGCTGAGTGATGTAACTTCAACCAACTGGGCCATTTCGATCGATCGCGAGAACCATGCAGATAATGTTTTGTTTAATAACTTATTGTGTATGTACGTACATCTATTTTCTTCCGAAAAAAATCAGTTTATAGTGAATTGTGTTTTG